CTCCTAGAGCATACTAGATACTTACTATCTTTGTATATAGTTTTGTATCAAGCCTGAATCTCGTTCTTTAGACTAAAAGGGAAATTGTAGTGAGAGATCCACTCACCCTCACCTGTGGCGCTGACCATGCCTGTTTGGGCATAGTCACAGGTGTGTAAGGGAGCGTGTGGTATTTGGTCTGAGGTCCGGGACAGGGTCTCTCTCTCTTGGCTCCGGCTGGGTCACAGAGAGCAGCCTGGATGTGGGTCCTTGGAGCTGCAGCTTGCAGGTCTCCTGTTTCTTATATAAGTGACTTCTCCCTGAATAAACTTAACCTACATTTAACCAAGTCCCGTGTATCTAATCTGTGCTTCTACAGACTGTAGAAAAAAGTCTTAAAAATTTCAACCACCCTAAATAGCCCCCCACTATGTGTGTGTGTGTTGGGGTGTGTGAATGTGTGTGTGGATCACTGAGAGGGGGCTACGGGAGAATGTTGGGGTGTCCTGCTTTACCACTTTCTGTCTTGTTCCTCTGAGACAGAGTTGTTCACTGAACCTAGAATGAGGCTGGTGAGCAGGAAGCCCCAGTGACCTTCCTAGCTCTGCCCCTCACAGTATTGGCTACTGGTATGCAAAACTATGGATAGGTTTTCACTCGGGTGCTGGGATTTGAACTCAGATCCTCATTCTTGCACAGCAAGCACTCTTACCAACCAAGCCATCCCCCACGGCCACTTTTTACAATTTTTATTTTTATTTCATTGCGCTGTTGTTTTGCCTGCATGTATGTCTGTGTGAGGGTATTGGGTCCCCTGGAACTAGATTTGCAGACAGCTGTGAGCTGCCATGTGGGTGCTGGGAATTGAACTTGGGTCCTCTGAAAGAGTAGTCAGTGCTCTTAACAGCTGAGCCACTGCCCTATCCCACAGTAGTCGCTTTTAATCTTGGAAGAACATAACCCTAACCCTAACCCTAACCCTAATTCTTAAGTAATTGTGTCCCCATGACTTTCATTCCTGTTTAAGTTAAAGGGATAACTGACTTACAAATGAGTAAAAGGCACCAAAATTGTACCAAAAAAAAAAAAAAAGCTAAAACTAAAACTAAAATCAACAACAATAAACCCCCCCCCCAAAACCCTATCATCTCTTCATCAAACCCCGCCTAAGTTTCAGCTTCTGACCTTGGCGTATCCTCCGTATTCTTCATTTACTTGTCAGTTATTTGACTTGAGTCCCATTTACTGTGGGAAAATCTTCACAAGCATTAGCAAAGCCACCGATCCCACGCAGCTTACCGTCCCCCTACACTCCTGCAGTGTCTGGTAGGCCATCCATCTCATTAGGCAACACTAGCATGTTAGTCCTGTCTTTCTAAGTGGTAGGCAGAGCTGGTCTTGGCATCGAATTGTTACCTGCCTTACTTAGCACTCTGTCCTTAAATCCAAGAAGCTCATTAGTATCTGAAAACAGAGATGAGGAGACGATTGCCACTAACTAAGGGAATTCAACCGAGATTTCATTCCTAAATACGTGATGGGGTGGGCACTATTTGCCCTGATTTTTCTCCTATGTGCTAGAAATTTCTACAGCTCTGACGCTGACATAACTCTTCTTAGAGTTGATTGTATAAAGGAACTTCCACATCTTGGCTCTCTCCTAACATTCAGGATGGGACTTCTCCCCCATTTTCTGAACCCAGTCTCCTTAAGAACGGTAAGTGACCTTGTTTACTAATGGGATGAAAGCAGGGGCTTCCCAGATGTGTCGGGAGAATCCATTCTTCCTGGTGGTCAGGCTGTCACTTCTCAGTGCCGGCAGTGGTCCACGATCCATCCATGTACATCTTGTAGGATGCCAGAGCAGACTTTCTAATGTAGAGACCTCATTATTAAAGCACCAGGATCCCCTAAACCAGGGTCTGTCTAAAGGAGTCCTTGTGTGTGGAAAGGACATGGGAAATGAAGAGGGTAAATGCTCATGTTTTGAACCGAGGAAGGCTGCAAAGGCGTTGTTTGGTAGTGGTGAGCCCTGTCAGCTGGCCTTGATCAGTGCCATAGCTTAGCAGTGGATCACACGGGGAGCCAGCAGGACAGAAGACAGCTGCTGGGGCTCACGTGTTTTGGAGTCAACAAGAAATGCCAAGAAGTTTTGCTGAGTAACAGTGAGAAACTGGGTGTGGTGGCTCATGCCTACAATCTCAATGCTTGAGAGCTTGAGGCAGGAGGATTGCCATGAGTTCAAGGTCACTCTGAGCTATAAAGTTTTCTTGCCCAGAAAAACAGAACAAAAACAAGGAAATATGTGTGCTGGGTGTTAGGTCCTTCCGTGGGTATTCGGCTTCCCGTAAAAGATGGCTGGAAGTGACAGAGGGAGTTGTAAACTTGGCACTGAAGTCCCGGGAAAGGGAAGTGTGTCGTTCAAGAATGTAGTTAGAGGAAGTGTGGGCTTCGGGGGACAGGAGGGGACAGAACCGTGGCTTGCAACCATGGCTTGCAAGGTCAACCGTTCTGTTGAGTGGAGAGAGCTGTAGCTCAGCTCTCCCGGTGGCAGGTTTGAGCGCCTGTGAGGAAGTCAGAGGCTCCATGGTAAAGGACAGTGGGAGCTGACACTGGGGTTGAAAGGGGAGGGGGGCGGGGGAGCTGAGGTTAGAGCACATCCCAGGTCTCTGTGTGTGAGGCCAGTTGATGGATGAGGAGAGGGCTCTAGCCCTAGAAGAGAAACCACGAGGCTAAGAGGCAAGCTGGTCAGAGACAGGCCTGGACACTGCTGTCTTCCTTCTCAGGAGAGGGAGTTAAGAGCTTCGCATGCTGGGTTCCAAGTAGAATGTCAGAGGGAACAGGCCCAACTGCAAACCTTCCTGCCCTGGATGTGGCCACACTGCTAGGCCCCTGTGCCTCAGGTGCTAGGGAACACAGGCTCTATCGAACAGCCCAGGGAAACAAGCGCTGCCTCCCGGGACTCTGAGGTACAAATGATGGCAAGATTAGGAAGGACAAGAGTATGGGTCACTCCATGCTCTGTTTCATAGCTGTGCTGCCTCATCAAAGCCCTGATTATTCAAATCATGCTTGGCAAATTTCTGAGATCCCAAATTATCCATCGAAAGGGCTCTGAAGAGGGTAATTAGGGTTGGGGGGGTGGCTATCGAATAATCCCTCACAAGTCAACTGTCTTCTAATGTTGTCGATCAGTTCCTTTCATTGAAACACTTTTTTTTTTTTCAAAGTGATAATTCTAAATTTTTGGTGGTAGATGGAGAAAGGAAGAAGGGCTGGAGGTCAACAGTAAAAACAAAGAATGGGGTACAGGGAAGAGAGGGAGCGCTTTTAATGAGAATGAGTGCTTCCAAACTTTCCCGTGCACAGGAACCACCTGGCCTTGTTGAAATGAAGACACTGATCCGGTGGAGCTGGGGAGGGCAGAGATTCTGTGTGTTCAGCAAGCACCGGGCTCATGAGCCTCTGTCACAGACCATGCTTAGAGTGGTGTGCTTCTTCCCGCTGGACGGAGACATACAAGTTAGCTTTAGAAAGTGGGCTGCCTCGCAGGTCAGCAGGCCATTTTCAAACCTAGGAAAGCAGAGTGGGCATCAGGTTCATGTTCACAGACATCTGTGAAGCCGTGAAACCAAAAGCTGAAGTCTCGCTTATATCATATCTTAGCAATGGAACTTTGGGCAAATCGTGGGCCATTGCTGACTCTGAACCCCTTGATTTAAAAAGTAGAAATGGTTAGGACCTGCCTTGTGTACTGCCCGCAGGGTAAAGATATAATGAAATCATGTAACAAATGTGCCCAGGTAACCAAAGCGCCTCCAGTGTGTAACCAATGCTATTATCGCTTCCACTGTGCTATGTGAAGTTGAGGAAACCTCCCCTTTCTGTGTGTGTGCACACCTGGGTGTGCAGATGTGTGTTTGCCACCCACTCTAGTTCTTTAAAATCAATCAATTAATATTTATGCACGTGACCATTTTCCCTGGTGTGCACGTAGAAGTCAAAGGACAAGTAGGAATCAGTTCTCTCCTTCAAGCGTTTGGGTTCTGGGGATGAACTCCGGTCATCAGGCTGGGCAGCAGGTGCCTTCACCCGCTGAGCCCTCTTGATGGCCGTGGTGGTTTGAAAGAAAATGGCCCACAAAGGGAGGGGCACTATTAGGAGGCATAGTTTTGTTGGAGTAGGTGTGGCTTTGGTGGAGGAAGTGTGTCACTGTGGAGGCGGGATTTGAGGTCTCATATATGCTCAAGCCACGCCCAGTAACACTTCCTGTTGCCTACAAGCCAAGATTTTGGACACTGGGCTACTTCACCAGCACCATGTCTGCCTGCAGGCCACCATGTTTCACACCGTGTGATAATGGACTAAACCTCTGAACTGTGAGCCACCCCAATTAAATGTTTTCCTTTTGTAAGAGTTGCGGTGGTCATGGTGTCTCTTCACAGCGATTGAAACCCTAACTGAGACAATGGTTCCCACTTTATTCTTTTTGAGACTGAGTTTCTCACTGATCTGGAGGTCTGGATTCAGTAGGCTGGGTTGAATGGCCAGCAAGACCCAGAGATCTGCCTGTCTCTGTGCTAACAGAACCATCTCCACATCACCTCCTTACAGCTTTTCACAGGTGTTTCTGTCACCCTCCTCTGCCTGTTTGTTTTGTGGATCATTGGTTGTTTTGAGACAAGGTCTCATGCTGTAGCCCCAGCTGGCCTGGAACTCACTATGTAGCCTGAGCTGGCCTCAAACTGATGGTCATCCCCCTGTCACAGCCTCCCAAGTGTTGGGAGTCTGGATACAAACCACGGGTACCTTCTTTCCACTTCTTCTCAGGCACCCTCCCCTTCCATGAGATTCTTTGCTCTCCAGTGAGCTCACCTGGCTGGAGGTAAGAGCTGGGCTCACACACACAGCTGCCAGCTTGGCAGTGTGGGAAACAGGCCACATTCTCCAAGGAAGAATTAGCTACAGGTGAGGAGACACTGCTGATCCCATTGACAGCCCTCCTGCTATTGTCCTTGCAGTGCTGAAGTAATGGCTGTCACACCTGAGATGTCCCTGCAGATGAGGACAGCTGTGAAGGGACAACAAGTGACTGGGAAGAACAATGACCTTCTCCAAAGTGTCAGTGTGGCTGAAGATGTGGAGTAAGTCAGGGACCTAGAGACTTCCTGGGGCCAGCAGGAGGCAGATAATGAGATATTTCAAGTTCAGGGTCATCTAATTTTAACTCATAACTATCAACCGAAGTAGCCTTATGAGGCGTCCATGCTGCCTCTGGCCAGAATGAGGCCTCATCAGGCAGAACGGGCAAGCCTTGGATTTCCATTTGGGAAACTGGTTGTTTCATGTTCATTACTTCACGGCTCCCTTATCCATAGCTGCTAAAGATATAGCCGTTTGGAATGCATAGTTACAGCACCTTGGTTACATAATCGTGCATCCATCAGTGATGGAATTGGGTCCTTAAACAGGCCAAAGGGCACCTCCTGTTGCTGTTGGTTTAAGATAGTGTCTCACTGTGCAGCCCTGGCTGATCTGGAACTCCTTAAGTAGGCCAGGCTGGCCTTGGATTCAGAGAGGTCGGCTTGCTTCTGCCCCCCAAGTGCAGGGATTAAGGATAATTCGCATAAGTGTATAGATGCCATGTGTGTATGTGTGAGTATTTGTTACTCTTCTCTCACTGACAAAGCACAGTTTATAGAAGGAGGAGTTTGCTGGGCTCACGGTTCCAGAAGGTGAATCCATGGTGGTGCAGCTCAGGCAGCAGGTGATAGATGTGCCTTGAACCAAAAGCACAAAGCAGAGAGAGCAAACTGGAAATGGCCAGAGTATTGAACTCTCAAAGCTCACTTCCAGCCCCATACTCCTCCAACACTCCTAAATCTTCCAGACAGCACCATCAATTAGGACCATGTAGCCAAATGTCTGAGACTATGGGGACATCTCATTCAACCCACCAGAGCAGCCTAGGTGTGAAGTGTCCCCAGCCTATTTCTGGGCTCAGGGTCCACAGACATGGAATGACTTACTAAAGACATACATTGTAAGGTGGCTGTGATTCAGTTTTTAAAAATGAGTATATGTGTCACATATATGCAGTTGGTAAAATAATAACAGCTTAGTAGGAGATGGGCAGAGGGCTCTAAGACTGTTGTAACACAGGAGAGAAGAGGACTGGGCTGTGAACATACAGACACAGGAACTCCCTGTCCCTGTGCTCGCATGTACACACAGCACACAGACACGGGAATTGCCTGTCACTGTGCTGGCACACACACACACACACCAGATAAAAATTGTTATGCTTCCCCAACATAGTCACGTATGTGGAGCAGGCCTTATGTACTAGTATGACTTCAGAAAGATTATTACAAAGGGAATTCAAAGTTCAGACTTAAAGTATATAAATATGCCCATATTTATACAGACCTATAGAAGCTTGCATGCTTGGCATGCTTTCTGTGGAAGAATAAAGAGTAAAGAACAAAGGACAGTGTGGATGGACTAAATATTTAGAGCTGTCATGGTTTAAATGTGGCTTCTTGTGACGGTGCTGTCTTGGGGGACTGTGGGGCCTTTGTGAGGCCCAGCGGGAGGAAGTAGGCCACTGGAGAGTGAGCTTTGGAGATGGGAGCTGGGTCCTTTTCTCTCTGGGTGATCTGTGCTTCCTGGCTGCTGACTGGATGAGAGCAGGCATCTGATCTGTGCTTCCTGGCTGCTGATTGGATGAGAGCAGGCATCCTTAAGCTACCCCTCCCTATGCCTTCTTCACCACCGTGGGCGGTTCCCTCACTGCTCAGTTCCAGGAGCTGGCCATGGCTATGAGAAAGGTAACCCCTGTGTCTTAGTTTCTTTTCCGGTTGCTGCAGTTAAATAACAGCGACAATAAAAGCAATCCCTGACAGAAAGGGTTTTTTCTTGGCTCACAATTCAAGGCACAGTTGGTCTTGCCGGGTAAATCAAGGCACTGGAAGACTGAAGCAGCTGGTCCCATTGCACCCCTACCACAAGAGACAGAGAGCCGTGAATTCACACATCTGTTCAGTTCCTTTTCTCTGTTTATATAATTCCAGAATCCCAGCCAGGGGAGGGTGCCGCCCGCAATGGGAGGGTCTTTGCGTCCCAACCCATTGAGTCAAGATAGTGCTACTCAGTCGCGCCCACCTCCGTGTTTAGACTCTGATGTTTGATTCTGTCATGTTGACGGTACTGTCACATAGTACAAGAGGCCACCACAGACCTGGTCCTCTTTGACTAATCACTCTGTAGAACCTGAGTTTTTGAGGCTCTACTCTTTGCTGTTTGTTTATTGTTTATCTCTCCCACACTTTTATATGTGTAAATACGAATAGCAGCAATTTGGAATCTCATTGTTAAGAAATTTATGGATTCGGCCAGGTGTTGGTGGCGCACGCCTTTAAACCCAGCACTCAGGAGGCAGAGGCAGGCGGATCTCTGTGAGTTCGAGACCAGCCTGGTCTACAAGAGCGAGTTGCAGGGCAGCCTCCAAAACCACAGAGAAACCCTGTCTTGAAAAAAAATATGGATTCAGCCAACAAATATTTATGCAGTTCTTCTATTTCTCTTTTGCAAAAGTCAGTAGAGGGTAGCACGTGTCCCTGGGGCTGGGGGATGTCTCTCAGGTCTCCGTTAACAGAGGACCAACCTAAACTCCTATGGTACAGTAACACCTGTGTTTGCTTTGTGTCCTTTGCATTTGCTAAGGGAAATTGTCAAAATGGAGCAAACCTCGGACAGACCAGATGAAAAAGATGAATTTCCTGAAAACCCGCAGACGGATTCCCTTCACAAGGTGGACTCTGAAGAATGGGTAAGCAAAGCTGGGCCTGATGAAGTGTGCTTGTAATCCCAGCCTGCAGGAGGGGAAGATGGGAGAATCAGGAGGCGCTCAAAGTCAGCCTTGGGTGTAACAGACCCCAAACGCAAGCAGACAAAAAGCCAAAGGAGGAAGAGAGACGCAAATATCATAGCAGGCAGAGAAATAACCTCACCTGCGCCTCAGAGGAGGAAGAAAATGCCCAGGGCTTTCCCTTGTAGGTGGAGCACTGAGACTGAGAGGCGGGCCTGGCACTGTTTCCCACACTGCTGTCTACACCCGGGGGTCTTCCCAGCTTCCCGACACCCCGTCTGTGTGTGTTCTGTGCTGTCTTTGTCTGTGAGGATCAGTTACAACTGGCATAGGTTACCTTAGAGCAGATGTTACGTGTAAAATCATCCCCTGCTTGTAGAAAGGCTTCCAACAGAATGTGTTCATCCAACCTCGATTTCATCTCCAGGGGGACCCCCTCCTCTCCCTGGTGGTGCCAACCCCCTACCCCCCTGCCCCCCGCTTGCCCTGGCTGGCGCTGCAGTTTCTGTCACCATCTCCCTGCACTGTTCCCACTGCTATGCCTTCTCCTCTGTCTCACATTAGGGTCTTCTTGCTGGGTTTGGGAGCTGCCCAGATCATCTACGATGATCTGATTGCAAGCTCTTATAACTCAACGACAAAGTCTACACAGGCTTTTGTCCAAACAAAGAAGCATGAACCGTGCTGGGACATGGGCAGATGTTCTTGGTGCCAGCTGTCAGTCTCCTGTGTTACATGAACTTGACCAAGCCACCTGCTCGCAGGCTGAGAGCATTTCCAACCTGCCCGAGTCCCCTCAAGTCTACTTGAGGATGCAGACTCCACTTTCTGACGGGTTAGCGCTGAGGCGTGCTCCTGTGGCCTCGGCTGGGGTTTATGCAGGTGTCTTGGTAAGGAACGCCCTCCTGCCCACCCCATGCTTTTCAGTTTAAGATTTGTCTTATTGAGGCACAGGAGTTTTGCTTAAAATCTCCCCAAAGAACTATTTTACAGTAGAGTTAAAAAAAAAAAAAAACCTCACGGGTGTTCTGACATAAATTATTGTCATTTTTTGGTAATTTTTTGCATGTATATACAGTTGAAATGCCAGAGAATGACTTTAATATAAAAAAAAGCAAAAAGAAAAAAGGAGAGACAGAAGGAGAAACAAGAAGGAAGGAATTTTATTTACTAAATACAATAGAGTAAGGCTCTTTCTCTCAAACCCTAACCCTGAAATAAATAAGGAGAGAACACAGAAGCACAATGACCAGCCATGCTCCTCCAGCCACACCTTAAAACAGTCAACAGCCACGGCATTCACTTTATCTCTGCATGTATAAATAGCTGCAATTTGCTGAGCCATTTAAAAGTAGGACAAACACAACAGTTTGTCCCTGTTGCCTTCAGAAAGCCTCTCTAAAAATAAAGATTGTTTCCTACGTATCCAAAATACTGTCATCACATCTAGAGAAATTAGCAGTTTAGCACATAAAGGAGTCTAAGCTTCTCATCTCAGTATTCCAGTTTTCCTCAACTATGCCTCAAATGTTTTTAGAGCTAGTCATTTTTAAAGATTCATTTGTGTAATTTTTTTGTCTTGTTTTTCGAGACAGGGTTTCTCTATAGCTTTGGAGGCTGTCCTGGAACTCGCTCTGTAGACCAGGGTGGCCTTGAACTCACAGAGATCCACCTGCCTCTGCCTCCTTCGTGCTGGGATTAAAGGCGTGCGCCACCGCCCGGCTCATTTGTGTATTTTGAGTGTGTAAGTTTTCCCTACATGTGTGTCTGTGTGCCATGTGCATCCCCAGTGCCCTCAGGGGCCAGAAAAGGGTGTCAGATTCCCCAGAACTAGAGTCACGGCGGGGGGGGGGGGGGGGGGGGGGGGGGGGGGAGGGTGTTGTGAGCTGAGAACTGAACTTGTATCCTAGAGCTGTATTTTTTTTTTTAAACTATCATTGGAACAAGATCTATGCCATGCGCTTAGTTTTCACAGCTCAGTATATTGTCTTACTATGAGACTTGTACTTTGCTTTTTTGTGAATTGAGGCCCCACCATTTGTTTTGTTGTGTTGTGGTCTTGTTATGTAGCCCAGGCTGGCCCAGAACTCATTGTGTGCCCTAGGCTGGTCCAGAACTCACTGTGTAAGCCAGACGGGCCTCATACTCATGGAAGTGTGTCCTACCCCACTGTGGGTCCTGGAGGTACAGATGTGCACCCTGGTCTGTCTGGTGTTGAGTTTTTGAAGAGACCAGAAGAGCCGAGTGTCCTTTGACTCAAGTTTTGGAGTTCATGGTTGGCTGCATTTCTTCTGTTCACCCAGTCCTTCCTGGGAGGCTAGTACTGGAAAGCCTGCCCCCAATCTGCTGCAAGCCAAACAGAGGCCTTGTTTCCTTCCCTCATCCACGCACTAGAAGGCCGGGCCTCAGACAGGCTGTGTCAGGTAGGGCTGGAGGAGCCAGGATCTCTCTCAATTACCCATTTGTTCCACCATCGTTTTATGCAGGACAGGTTGGAGCAGGACTCTAAGCACAGCCAGGACCCACCGATCAATCAGGATGAGCAAGAAGCAACTCTTGTTTGTGCAGACCCTCGAGTGTCACTGTCACAGTTTTCAGAGACGAGCACCCTTGCACCGTAAGCTCTGACATGACCCCATGGAGAGCACTGGGTAATATGGGGTAGACGAGCAAGCTTAGTAAGGAATTCAGAGAAATCCTGTTGAACCACACAGCATCCACGTGTGTGGGGACTGGCTGACCCTGCCCAGCAAGGCTGAAGAGTTAGGCAGCCCTGGCCTGAAGATGCTGACACAGCCATCAGGTCTTCTGAGTATCCTTGGATTTGGAGCTTAGAACTGACAGGCATCTCAAAAAGTCTCAGATAACTGCTTATATATGAAATTCACCCTGATCATTACTAAAAGCCTGCCATTAAGCCCTTGAGTGCTGCCTCCTGTTGTACGCCTCTCCTCCCCTGGCCGCTATCCTGACCCAATAGCTAACATTCATTACATAGAGGGAGATTTCAAATATATCTGTTTTTAGGGCTGGGGCAATAGATCAGTGATAGGGTACTTGCTTAGCATGTGTGAGGCCCTGGGGTCAACCCCTAGCGTTGAGAAAAATATAAATCACTCTTTTAAAAAATAGAAACGTTTCAGAAAAAGTATGTGTGTGAATGTTTTGCCTGTGTCATGTATGTATGTACACTGCACACGTGCCTGAGCCTGGGGAGCTCAGAAGAAGGTTCGGATCCTCCACACCTGGAGTTTCGGATGGTTTATGAACCACCATACGGTGCTTCGAGTCAAACCTAGCTTCTGTGCAAGAGCAAGGAGTGCTTGCAACCAATTGAGCCAATTCTCCAGCCCCACATAACACTTTCAAAGGCTGGGCATGGAGCTCCCAGGTAGAGTGCTTGCTTTGCGCAAGGCCCGGAGTTGGACTCTCAGAAACACGCATGCCTATTTTGCAACATTATTTGCTTTACCCAGGCTTTTAAAGACCTGGGTTTACACAGATACATAAAATAAATGGCCACCGTGGCCCATCTCCATGGCAGGAAACACATGTAGAGATCAACTTGTCTGTCCAAGGAAGAGCGTGCAGAGCTGTGTGAGATGTTTGCATTGATCGGGACCCTGTTTCCTCAGGCCCCCCGAGGGCTCGGCCCTCAAGCTGAGATACTGGGATGCAAAGATGGGTCTACAAATGAAGGAACTTGGAGCCGACCACGACAACTGGTTGGAGAGGATCAACAACATTATACAAAGGATAAACAACACAGAGAGTACAGTGAAGAGGTAAAGGCTGGATATTGGGACGGGAAGGAAAGTGGTGGGATGTCTCATGGCTTCGAGGCTCACAAAACCATCTCTCATGCATCAGTGTGGCCTCAAGACAAGAAGCGCAGCCCAGGGTTGCAAGTCCACATCCCAGGCTCACATCCCAGGCTCACATCCCAGGCTCACATCCCAGGTCTCTCAGTCTCTCAGTGGTTTCTCCCACACACTTTTTATTTAAAACTGAGTTATTTATCAAAGGGGTGCACACAGCATGCTCTCATTTTTACCTATGTGTGTACGTGCATGTGGGCACACACATGTATATATACGTATGTGTGTACATGCATGCAAGCACAGATGTCCAGGGGATCAGAGGTATCAGATCCCGGAGCTTGAGTTACAGGCGTCTGTGAGCCGCCATGTGGATGCTGAGAAACCAAGTTGTCCTTCTGCAGAAACAGCATGTCCTTAACTGCTGAGCCATCTTTCCCATGCCACCCCGAAGGGTCTCTTGTTGCCCAGGCTAACCTCAAATTCTCTGTGTATCTGAGCATAATTATGAACTCCTAATAACCCCTGCCTCTACTTACTTCCCCATTATGGAATGTGCTACCACAGCCTGTATTCTGCTGGGATTTGAACCCAGGTCTTGAAGAATGCTAGGCAAGCACCCCATTAACTGAGCTACACCTGCCTTAGAGAGCCTGAGTCCTGAAGGCCCACTTGTTGGGCGAATTAATCGACCTTTTTAAGGGCTTGCCTTTCCTCATGTATAAAAAGTTACTAATGGTGCCCTCATCACTGGCTCCATTGAGAGGGTTCAAGTGTGAGGCTGGTACACAGCCACTGGTTAACAAACAGAAGCTCTTATTGGGAATGAGTGTCTGAATGAAGCCTTGAATTTCCAGACCATGTTCCAACCTGTTTCCTAGAACAAGGGTACGGAGCTCCTAGCTGTTTCCTCTTTACTGTCGCAAAGCTGTCTGTCCATTCACACCCCATCCAGGTGGGCCTTACTGTCCTCCAAAGCGTTAAAAGGGAACCCAAGTCCCACACACTATGTATTTTCTCTTTTAAAGTATAATTATATTACACGACAATTATGTTTTTTATAATGTGAGGTCCTGTGAGTTTCACAAAAGCTTATAGTTATAATACTGACATGATGGGGGAAGTACTTCTGTGTATGTTTATCTTATTGATTGTTTAATAAAGTTCTGTTTGGCCAATGAAACAGCAGGTTAGACAGGACTAGGAGTCATAGATAAGTGGTGATCCAGGCAGGAAGTGACATAGCAAGGGGACTCATATTTCAAGAAGGAGAAACAGGAAGCATCCCCTTATCCCCCTCTGCACCTCCTCCAGCGGCGGGATGTGAGCCACCAGCAAGGAGGGACGCCAATAAGGCTTCCGATAAGATAAGTCTTATAAAATACATAGATTTATGATAATTAAGACTGAGCTGGCAGATGGGAATCCACGTCATTGGCCAAGCAGCTTTGTACCTAATATGTCTCTGTATTATTTTGTCCATCCACGCGGCGGGCAGAACTTGGACAGCTGGCGGAGACCACCCATGTGGCGGTAGGGCTCGGGCGGCTTTGGCGGAAAGATTGATCGTAACAGAATGGTGTCAGAGATCGGGATGACCCCATGCCCCAAGGTTCCCAGAGAAAGAGGAAACCTGCGGCCACAGCCTGCCATGTCAGGCCGCATACCTTGACCCATCACAAAATCCATTATTCTCTTCTTTCCTTGCATTTGTTTTAAGACTGTGTCTTATGTAGCTCAGGCTAGCCTGACACGCTTGATCCCCCTTGCCTCCATCTCCTGAGTAGGGTTTGGTGTGTACCACCAAGCCCAACTTGCTACTGAGTTGAAGATTCTTGATACAGTCTGGATAAAAACCCAGATTCCCAGTATTTGGATTTTTGAAACGTCACTGTCCGGGCTGTGGCCACAGCGCAGTGCCTCTCCTGCACGAGTCCCTAGGTCCAGTCCCTTGCACCTTCCCTTCCCACACTTTTAACAGCACCTCTCAAGGAGCTGAGGCGCGTCTCCTTACTGTGCCCTTCTATGTAGAGTAACAACAATGTTTCACTTTTGAAAGACGGGACACCTCTCCCATGTCGGATGACTGTTTTCTCGATCCATAGGACTTAGTCCATTTCTTCATCTGTTTGTAGCCTGTTGACTGAGGTGATATCCCTGGAAAACCAGTCTGAAAGTTTGGAGGACCCTGACGAGGAAGCAAACATTGAGGTAAGCCGGGTTCCGACTTCTGCCTCCACCTCCCTCCTCGGGTGCCAAACAGATCTTAGCCAGAGGGAGATGCACGTCCATCACAGGGGAGCTCTGGCCACTCCGCTAAGCCCCTTCCTCCAGGGGATACTGCTTCCCTTGTTAGACACTAGGAATCCTGGACTCTGCCTTGTATTCCTCCTCGTAGGCGGCTGGCTATCTTGACACCCTCGTGAGGATACCTGCCTGTCTGACTCTCAGAATCCCAGCCCTGCTAGTTCAGAGGAAACATGTAGGAAATGGGAATCTATTAACCGTGTCCTGAGAAATCAAGGACTAAGCTGACTGTGCGGCCTCTGATGCCCTCTTGACATGTTCTTGTGTTATTTCCAAACCTCCAAAGTCTCTTATTTCTTTATCTCTACGTGTTCTTAGAGATTCTTTTCAGAGAAAAGGTTATTTTTTTAATTTTTTGATGTTTGTTTTTAATTTTTATTGTATTTGTGCATTGTATGTTTGTGTATGTGTGTGCATGTGTGAGTGTGGATGTGCATACGTGGAGGTCAATGACAACTTGCCAGGTTTTCTCTTTCTACCTTGTGGGGCCCAGGGCTGTAAGTAGGTTGGTGGCAAATGCTCTTAGCTCCTAAGCCATCTCGTTTGGTCTGATTTTAAGATGTTTTTGTTTTGCTTTGAGGCGAGGATCTTCTTTTAAACATGGGTTAGTCTGGCGCTCATTATGTAGACTATTCTGTAGGTGGAGTTTTCCTGTCCTGACTTCTGCCTCCAAAATAAACACACAGAGACTCAATATTAATTATAAAGTGCTTGGCTGATAGCTCAGGCTTGTTGCTAGCTCACTCGTCCATTTTAAATTAACCCATTTCTATTCATCTACCATCCCCCACATGGCGTTACCTCTCTTGCAACTGGCACCTCCTGTTTCCTCTCCATGTCTGGCTGGCAACTTCTCCGACTGTGCCCTTCTTCTTCCCAGTCTCCTTAGTCTGGTTCTCTCGCCTAACCTAATCCTGTCCAGCTATTGGCCAGTCAGCTTCTTTATTGAACCAACCTCAGGGACATGCACAGTGTAAAGGCACACTCCACACTAACCTTGTTAGTTTGTGCTGACCTGGAGCTCTCAGCAAGACAGCTGCTCCCCAGTGCTGTGTTGACAGTGGTGAGTCACCACACCCAGGGAGATTTGTAATTTAAGGGGGTGGGGGGACTTGAGATCATTGGAAAGGAGAAGGCGTGGCACACTTGTATGAAACTGTGCCGGATCTACGCATTCTGTGTGCCCGCTGAGAGCGAAGCATACCAAATGCCACACATGAGCGTAAGTCCCAGAAGCCGGTCAAATGCCCACCGGTCGATAGACAGATAAGGTAAGCCATATCTTGTGGGCACAAGGGAATGCCATCCTGAAATAAAAAGGAACAAACTCTTGACTCTCCCAACAGCATGAGTGAACTAAGACACAGCAGGCTCTTTGAAAGACACCAGCTCAGATTGTTACAGACTTTACGGTCCATTTATGTAACAAAAAGGCAAAACCATGGGGACAGGAGATAGACAGGCAGTTGCTGGAGCTGAAGGGGGAAGGGAGGGAGCAGTTAAGAAATGACCCTGTAAGTCTGCTGTCCCAGCACCTGGGAGGCAGAAGCAGAGGATCGGGAGTTCAAGCTCACCCCCCTGATAGTTCAACTCCTTATTAAACCACGTCACTCAGGGGCTGGTAATGAACTAAAGCAGTACAATACAAGGGTGAATCTGTATCCCAAATGTGACCACGTGCTGCTGAAGGTTGCTGGCTGCTCAGGGTGGCCAGTGCTGCTGTTACTTATACTGGACCAGCCCAATGCCTAGCTCAGGGGTCACCTGTATAGGATGTGGCCAATCACACCTTTTAAAAAAAGTTTTGTGTGTATATGTCTGCCTGTCTGTCTGTGTGTTCCATGCATGCAGTGCTCACAGAGGCCCTCAGAGGGCATCGGGTCTCCCGGAACAGCAGTCACAGGCAGTTGTGAGCTACCATGTAGGTGCCGGGAATCAAGAGCAGCCAGTGTTTTAACCACTGGGCCATCACTCTTCACCGCCACTTGTATCTTAGAGGCGTGATTCGACGCTGTCTTTTATAAACCAGCCTTTATGAGGGGAAACAGCTGTGAAATCTGGTTTTCTGACCATGTGTTTCTCCTGAAAACTTTCCTCCTTCAATTCCATATGTCATTCCTTCTAACTTGTGTTGTTCATCCTTGTGTTATAGGAGAAGATCACAGAAATCCGAAAGCAATTAAAAGAAATGAACATAAAATTGGCCCAGGTAATGAGACGCTTTTTTAGACCAGGAGGCACACAGAGGCAGGCAGATCTCTGTGAGCTCCAAGCCACCCACCCTGGTCTACAGAGTGAGTTTCAGGACAGCCAGGGCTATGTAAAGAGGCCTTGTCTCAAACAAACAAACAAAGAAGAACTGCGGTCCTTCAAAGATAAGCACAATGAGCACATGTGTGTTTATCTTCTTCTGACATCACATTTATTTACACACCGAGTACTGTTGCCACGAGATACATGCTTGTGTGTGTGTTTATATTCTGACATCACATTTATTTATACACCGAGTACTGTCATCACCAGATGCACACTTGTGTGTGTGTGTTTATATTCTGACATCACATTTATTTACACACCGAGTACTGTCGCCACCAGATAACATGCTTGTGTGTGTGTTTATATTCTGACATCACATTTATTTATACACCGAGTACTGTCATCACCAGAAACACACTTGTGTGTGAGTGTGTGCTTATATTCTGACATCACATTTATTTATACACCGAGTACTGTCATCACCAGATGCACACTTGTGTGTGTGTTTATATTCTGACATCACATTTATTTACACACTGAGTACTGTCGCCACCAGATACACACTTGTGTGTGAGTGTGTGTTTATCTTCTGACATCACACTTATTTACACACTGAGTACTGTCATCACCAGAAACACACTTGTGTGTGAGTGTGTGTTTATATTCTGACATCACATTTATTTACACACCGAGTACTGTCATCACCAGATGCACACTTGTGTGTGTGTTTATCTTCTTCTGACATCACCTTTATTTGCACACTGATCACTGTCATCCTCAGATGACATCACACTTGTCTGCGGCTAGCTTTTCACAGGTCACTTTTCTTCAGGATTCTCTGTGCCAGTGAGATGTCATCTTCCTTCACTGCTGTACAACCTGAGTCTGATGTTTGAGTTTATGGGCTTTATTTTCTTGGACTGTTGGGATTTTGAACATGAGTGTAACCCAATAAATAAAAGGCCCAGAGGCTGATATTGGGGTTCAAGTTGCAAGCTGAAGATCAAAAAAGCAAAGCAGCCAAGCCACTAGCTCTCACCTCTAGCTCAGACTGAAAGGAGATCCTGGCTCCACCAAACCTCAGACTACAATCCCAGGCCACTATGCTCTCCTCAGCGTGGCTGGAGAATCCTGATACTGACCACCGAAGACCCTGCTGGGATTAAAGGCATGAGCTCTGTTATTCTTTTAGACTGATTCAGTCTCGTGTAGCCCTGGGTGGCCTTGATCTCAGAGAGATCCATCTGCCTTTGTCTGAGTCCTGGGATTAAAGGTGTGTGCCACCACTGCCTGATCTCTGTAGCTTGAGGCTGACTTTGCTTTCTGAATCTTCAGGCAAGCTTCAATAAATCATAAATATCACCACACATGAGTGTTTACCATGAGAAACTGAGCCTCAAGAAACCAATCCTGGGGCTAGAACACTGGGGCTCAGTGACAGGCACAGATAGGGCCCAGCGTTCAATCATCTGCTCCTCGTAAACCAGGCCTGGTGGCACAAATGTGTGTGTAATCCCAGTGTTTGGAAGGCAAAGGCAAGAAGATTTGGATTCAAGTTCATGCTTGGCTGCACAGCAAATTGGAGGCCAGCCTGGAATATGTGAGACTCTGTCTGAAAAAATTAAGAAAGAACAGACGAAAAACCTCCACCTGCTCCTGTGAGCATTCCTTTAAGAATCAAGACAAGACTACGCATTCTCTTCCAGACGACCTGAGAGGGGGTCTCTCGGCAAGTCAACTCCTGCTGAACCAGAGCCTGGATATTCAAGCTGATCTTACATCTGTACTTTAGAAATGTTTACCTGTTTGAAAAAATACGTTCTTATTTTCTCAGAAGCCTGCTCTTTCACCAGCTTCTACCTTGGTGCAAGATTTTTGTTTTTAATATTAAGTATGGATGCTTTTGGCAGCATGTATGTCTGTGTACCGCACACATGCAGTGACCATGGAGGCCAGAAGAGGACGTTGGGTTTCCTGGAACTGGAGTTACAGACGGTTGTGAGCCGCCATGTGGGTGCTGAGAACTGAACACGGGTCCTCTGGAAGAGCAGCCAGTGCCCTTACTTGCTGAGCTGTCTCTCCAGCATTAGAAGATTTTTAAAAATTATTTATTCTTGTTTTATGTACATTGGTGCTTTGCCTACACATATGTCTGTGTGAGGGTGTCAGATCTTAAGAGTTACAGATAGTTGTGAGCCGCCATGTGGGTGCTGGGAATTGAACCTAGGTCCTCTGGAAGAGCAGCCAGTGCTTTTAACCTCTAAGCCATCTCTCCAGCCCATAGAAGATTTTTAAGGGGCATCAAAGGTGTAACAAACAGAAAGAATGGCTTATTAGAGGCTGTTGTATAAACTTACACGTGTGTGTGTGTGTGTGTGTGTGTGTGTGTGTGTGTGTGTGTACGCTGTGCATGAGTGTGTGCATACATGTTTGCATGGACACAGGTGTGTGTGCTGGTGCCAGTGTGTTTATGCATGTACTTGAGGTCTGAAGTAGGTATCAGGCATTTTTCTCAATTGTTCTCCACTTTATTTTGAGGCAGGGTCTCTCGCTGATCCAGAATGCTCTAGTTCTGGCCAGTCTAGCTAACCAGTCTGCTCTGAGATGCTCCTGTGTCTGCCTCTCAGGCCGCCCCCATGCCTGTCCAGCTCCCACGAGGGTTCCTCACACTTGCAAGGCAGATGCTTCATCAACTGAGCCAACTTCTCACCCCGAAGTTATGTATTCATTTATTTTTGTTTTTGCTTTTTTTTTTGAAACAGTCTCACTACCTAGCCATGGCTGGCCTTGAACTTACCGAGATTTGCCTGCCTCTGCCTCTGTGTGCTGGGATTAAAGGCGGGCGCCACCATGCTGGGGAATTTATACTTACAAAGGACTAAAAACAACCCACACTGACCTTGGCTATTCTTCTTACAATATACAGTTCACACCCTGGTCAGTGCGTGGGCTGTTTGCCTCATGTTTGTTCCACCACCATTTTCATTCATTGGCTTTTGTGGTGTTGAGCACGGAGCACAGGGCCCTGTCTGTGGTAGACAAGCACTCTGCCGCAGTGCTTGTTCCCTCAGACCCAGGGAACTATGTCACTGAGTAAACGTCGCTGTCTCAGAACAGCCACTCTGCACGTGGTACAAAAGCGAGAGGTTTTAACATATAAACCAGAAAGATGCCCTTGTCAGTGTACTCAGACCCGTTGACATCTTTCTAGGTCGATGCCTGCAACGAAGCCCGTGAATTAAAGGAGAAACTCATTGAACGGATAGAGGTGAGATGCCCCAAGTCTACCTCTCCAAGCAGGTCAGTCGGGCTCCTGCTAAGCCTGGCGGCTATTTCCCAGGAAGCCAACCTACACCTCATTCTGGTCTCTGGCTGGTCACAGGTCTTCTTTTCCATCCCTCAGGCTTCTTTCTGCCTTGGGCCGAAAGAAGCCTGACGGTTTCTGGAGTCTCTCTCTACGCCTCTGCTTCTCCTCTCTTAGTCACCCGGAGCTTTCCTCCGTGTCCATGTGCTCTGCATTGCGCAAGGCTCAGTGCAAATGACACCTCTTCCCCAGACCTCCCCTGTCTCTCTCATCCAGAGAATGAGTTCATCTTTGAGTTCCTTCCCCGACACCTTAGACGTGGGGGGAAGCATGACATGTGGCTGAAACAGTGGACAGATGGGCTACTACCGTCCTACTCAGAGGTGCTGGCTCCTCAGCGTCACTGGGTACTTGGTCCACACCCCACCAAGCTCGGCCCCACTCCTTAGCGTGCCTCTCGCTCTCATGCGTGTGGACGGTTGGCTGTGTGTTACTTGTTGCACAGCCTTACACGAGCACCTGTAGTTGGCAGTGGATTCCTATCTATTCTGTGACCTGGAGGAGGGCCTGGTGGGCATCACTCTGTATGTGTGGCGTGGGTGGCCACACTGAGACAGATTCAGTACAGGGGTGTCGTTTCAATAGTTAAAGGTTTCTCCTGTCTTCCCCCACTCTGCATGGGTCCACTGACTGTGCCCTTGCCATTGGCCACCTGAGTTGTCACAGAGGGATAAACATCCTCCTTTGCCTACAATGCAACAATGAGAATTTTTTAAATTTTTTTAAATTTATTTTAAAGATTTGATTTATTTATTATGTATACAGTCTTCTGCCTGCATGCCAGCAGAGGGCACCAGATCTCATTCCAGGTGGTTGTGAGCCACCATGTGGTTGCTGGGAATCGAACTCAGGACCTCTAGAAGAGCAGTCAGTGCTCTTAACCGCTGAGCCATCTCTCCAGCCCTCTTTAAGAAAAGAGAGTTGATTGCTTTTAAATTTTCTTCCCAGAGCTTTTACAAGGAAATGAACGTACTGAACGCTAAGCTGGAGATATACAACACTCAAGAAAGAGAGACAGACTCCCACAGCTCTGAAGACTTGGACACTGAGCAAATAGAGTCACCGCTCCCTGAGGCTTCTCCAACCCCTCCAGGGTCACACTCTCCTCTCTACAGTGCAGTGTGGTGAGTAAGAACAAAGGGGCTGCGTGGGCCGGGCAAACTTATCCAACGCCATCAGGAATGGTGGCCTGACCTTTAACCCCAGCACTCCAGGGGCAGAGGCAGGTGGATCTCTGAGTTCTAGGCCAGACTGGTCTACAGAGTGAGATCATGTGCATGCATGAGGGCGTGTGTGAGGGCATGTGTATGTGCCTGCATACATGTGTGTGTGTGTGTGTATGTGTGTGTGTGTGTATATATGTGTGTGTGTGTGTGCCCACATGCATGGGTGTCTACTCAACATAAGAACTATTTTAAGACTCACTGCATATCTTTAAGTGTTGAGTAAAATGTTAGGGTTGCCTTTCAGTGAGCTCCTGTGCAGTTAGGGGGACACTCTGGAGCTGTGGGGCTTAGGGTTTTATACCTCACTATCAATTATATTTTTATTGACTTACCACACAAAAGAAAAAAAAAAAACTACGATGGAATTGAAACTAGAAAAACCATTAACTATGTGTCCTCTTTCATGACCCATGTCTTTTACCTGCAGTTAGTCCTTTCCTTGTCACCCAATGTTACCCCCTTCCAGGGTCCTTTCTAAATGCTGTACGGTACCCACATTTGCAGATGTTTACATATAAATATGTATCCATTACAGACTGGGGTCTACAGATGAGAGAAAAATATTCTTTTTCTTTCTTGCTTGCTTAACCCTGCTTAACAGTGTCTATTCCCAGTCCGTCTACTTTCCTGCGAAGTTCACAGTTGCACTTATCGTCACAGCTGAAAAGCATTCTATGGTGTGCACACATCGAGTTTTCATTACCCCTCTGTCTGTTGATGGACATCTAGGTTGGTTTCATTTCCTTGATACTGTAAATAGTGTAGCAATAAGCACAGAAATTCGAGCCAGGCCTTGGTGGCGCACGCCTTTAATCCTAGCACTCGGGAGGCAGAGCCAGACCGATCTCTGTGAGTTCGAGGCCAGCCTGGTCTCCAGGGTGAGATCCAGGACAGGCTCCAAAACAATACAGAGAAACCCTGTCTCGAAAAAAAACAATAAATAAATATTACCGATATAGTTTGACTCGCTTGATGGAAAATTAACACATATTTAAAAATTATCAAAACCAGTAACTCTCTAGTATCAAACAAAGAAATGGGGCTCCAACTATGTCTAGAAAGGGTACAAGAACAAAAAGAGTGAAAGCGACCCAAGGAGCATACTGAGGTCACAGGTCAGACAGGGTGGAGCTGTGGGGATGGAGGGTCCACGCCCTCCCTCCACGAGGCTCCTTTCCGGGTCTAAACACACGTGTCTTCTCTGCTGCAGGAAACACGCGCTGAAGCTCTTCTTCATGTTCTACGTGGTCACCATCACTGGTCTGTCGTGTTACATACTGTTCGTGGACGCCACGTTTCTCTTCGAACGGGTGCTGCCCAGCGTGCTGGGGCACCGCACCATGTGGGAGCTGCGGGAGATGGTGGCGCCTTTCCTGAACTTGGAAGCAGAGGACTTGTTGCCATCCTAAACCTCCAAAAGTTACCGATACCCGACTCTCTTCCTCGCCAGTAAATTTTACATGTTCCTATATTGCAACGGTTAGCTTGTTTTTCTTTTTTAAGATACCATTCAGCGTTTTTATAAAGGACATTGTTATTATATAAAATTTTTAGTTCACCACAGAAAAAAGTGAAAAGGATTTCACTAGTTAAACGCAGGACCTTGCTCTGTAGGGGAGGCTAGTCTCGAACTCACGATCCCATGCCACAGCCCTTCCCCCCAACCCCCCCCACCCCCGCCCAGTGCTGGGACCTGGGGTGTGTGCTGGGAGGCCGAGCTCTCACAATGACTGCTTTAACCCCTTCCAGGCCCAGCTTTTCTCCCTCCTCCCATCCTGAGCACCTTGGGATAATCATGTATTAGCTCCCGTTGCTCCTACTGTCCCTGTTTTGACTTCTGAGGTCTTAAAGAAGGAAGAATTCCTCTCTTCTGAGGACTGGGGCTCAAGGGCAGTAGCAGGCATTTCTTGATTTTTCTGTGTTCATTTTTCTGACAGTCTTTGAGAGAACCGTCTTTCCCTAGCAAAGACAGACTCAAGGGCCCCTTCTGACACACGTGTGCCTTCCCATGAGTAAGAGGCAGCACAAACTAGCACACACACTCATGAGCATAATCAAGAACGTAGACATACATGCTTGCACGCAGGCATGCTCAAACACACATACACATGTACACACATGTGGACACACACATGCACACACGAGGTGCCAGTGTGTTATGTCAGGTGTTCTCTGAGAATTTTAAGAGAATTTATGTAAAAAATGGAGTTGTTTGGAATTTTAGCAAGTCCGTTCTATTTTTCTGCTTAAACTAGCCAGGTCTTGTTCTGTTGCTTACAATCAAAAGAATTCTGAGTGCTGTGGGGAAGTTTGATGTTTTATCCCTAATCATAGGTAATGTGGAACTACATTGTTTTTTTTTTTTTTTTTTTTTTTTTCCAGACGAGGTTCCTCTCTGTCCTGGAACTCACTCTGTAGACCAGGCTGACCTCAAATTTACAGATGTCCTCCTGCCTCTCCCTCCTGAGTGCTGGAATTACAGGTGTCTGTCACCACCGCCTGACTATGTTTGTTTTAAATGTGAGAAGTAGTTCTAACTAAGCTTGCAAGACTGGTAGAATTGTAAGTGGGGTAGGTCGGCCGTGGAGGGTGAGACACTGGTCAGAGTGGCTGAGGCTGGTAGAGTGCTGCTGGCTTTTGTCTTTAGCACTGTGTGAAGCCAGGTGTGGTGCTGTGTCTGTAAGCCCAGCACTTAGGAGGTGGACAGGAGGACCAGAAGATCAAAATCATTCTCAACTTCATACAAAGTCAGAAGCCAGCCTGGGACCCTACCTCAAAAAGCAAATGACCCATTTGGTGGTCTGGGTGGACTAAAGAGGCAATGTTGAGAACGAAAAGGAAGTAGACACGGTGGGACAGACTCTACGGTGTTTGGTTGTGTAATAGACGGAGAGGAGTGGGCAGAGAGGGCTGTGGCAGGCGGTCCCAGCCCTTATGCCTGAATTGAACCATGGGTGTTTTTATGACAGAAGAGGAAATCACCCTAGAAAAAAAGAAACACAGCTGAAGTTTGGAAGTTGTTTCTCCATTTGTTTGTTTGTTTGAGGTTATTTGTTTGTTGTTGTATTTTGAAACAGGATCTCACTATGCAGCCCTGGCTAGCCTTGACATGTAGATCAGGCTGGCATCAAACTTGTGGCAATCCTCCTGCCTCCAGTCTCCTGCCTAGGGATTACAGATGTGCACTGCCATGCTTGGTTTATGTCTTTGAGATGACTTGCAATCCCATCAGTAAATTTTTTATTTCACATTCCAGCAATCACTGGATCATAGAGATCTTCCAAACTGACCTGCTGTTCTTTGCATTCATGGTGTCACCATTGAAACACAGTAGGTACACATGGATCCCTGCTGCAAAACCTAGTCTGTTTCTACTCACATAGATTGACAGTATTCACACAGCCTTGGTAAACTCCAAATGTTACCATGAACAGTGTGTGTGTGTGTGTGTGTGTGTGTGTGTGTGTGTGTGTGTGTATGAGATGTGTGTGTAAGAGAGAGAGAGAGAGAGAGAGAGAGAGAGAGAGAGTATTCAAGTATATGTACATATGAGTGTATGTATGTACACTTGTGTGTGTGTGTATGCAAGTGTGTGTATGTGTGAGTGTATGAGAGTGTGTTTGTATGCGTGAGTGTTTGTATGTGTGCAAGTATGTATGTTTGTGTACATGTGAGTGTGTATAAGTGTGCATAAGGGTTAATGTGAGTGTGTTTGTGAGTGTGCACACCTGTGAGCATGTGCATGCCCAGCAAACATGTGAAAGTCAGAGAATGACTTTTGGGGAGTTGTTTCTCTTCCTCCTTGCTGATGCAGTATCTCTCATTGTTTCTGGGCTGTGTTAATGAAAGCTAGCTGTAGCTGGCCAGCAAGCCTCTGGTCACTCCCCTGTCTCTGCGCCTATCTTGATGAAAGAGTGCTCCTCTCATTCAGTGTTTGTGGGTTCTGGAGATCAAACTCAGGTATCAGGCATGTAGTGTGGCAGCTGCTTTTACCCCCCCCCAACTGTCTTAAAGCCCCAAATATCACTTTTATGCTGGTATCCTATAGCCATGAGACCTTATTGGTTGTTGGAAATGTACCCGGTTTGTGACTAGTGCTGGAAATATAGCTACCAACAGAATTCCAGATAGAAGCGTTTGATTACACACTTGTTTAGCTCTGCCACCAAAAGCCCTGATCCTGCCAAGTCTCTCTCTTAACAGATTCCCCAGACAACTCTTATGATCCAGGACTTAAATTGCTAGCATGCTGTTACATACAAAAGCTAACTGGATTACAGATTAGTCAGGAAGCACACAAAGGAGGTGACTAACATTTTAGGGGTGGCGGGGAGGGTCTGGCGGGAATAAGAGGGAATTCCCAGGACACACACCAAGAGCCAAGACCTCTGCGAACACTGAACACTCACAGGCTTTTGTGATGTATTTTTTTTTTTAAGTCATGGATAAAAACTTGTTTACAAATAAAGGGCCTGTCTGGACCAGACTGTAGACACAGAACTTGATGTACGTATTTTATAATTCTCAGGCTAGTTCTTACTACTGGATACGATACCAGATGCTTCACTTGTAAACCCTAAAGGAAGTTTTGAGGTTAAGCGTCTCGAAGTCTTGTGATAATCATACAGCATCACACAGCACCAATGACAAAGTACTGTTTTAGGAAGATTGTCTTAAAGGATAAGTTAGTATTTCAGTAACTTCTATGACCGGATTTTCTTGGGATTTTGACAAATCTGAAAATGTTTGTCCCCGGCAGACCATCCTTGAAATGCAAGTGGTATTCTTTATTTTCAGTTTGTCTGTGTCTCACCCTGGACAGCTGGTCACGAGGATGTTCAGTTGTGTGGAGAGATGGGAACTGAAGTGTGTTAACATTAGGGTGACTGGGGGTGTGGGGCAGGGCAGCTGGCTGGTCTTGGCTGGTTGGGTCAGGTATTGTTTGAAAACTTTTAGTGCCATGGTCTGCTGAGCCCAGCACTGTTCTACACTGTTAGCTAAGAATGTTGAGTCACTGTATGAATACGTGTTGGGTTTGGGACTGTGAGGAGAGATGAATGTTCACAGCCTTTGTGTGTGCCATGCTTTCTGAGCCATGAAAGTGTGCTGTGGAGATAAGAGATTTGAACTTGGATTCAAGTTAGGTTAGAGCCATGCTCTGCCTCCAGTTGTGTATGGGGTGGAGTCCTCTAATCTCTCCCTGTGGAAGGGGGTCCTAGCAGTACCTTCCCTGGTTGCCAAGAGTGTTGGCCACAGAGTCAGGGTTGTCCCTCGCTTGCTCTTGGTCAAGGAGCCCTCTGAGATTGCTCTACAGGGTCGACCTGACCTAGGAGACTGGGCGCCCCTCTGGGTCTATCTGTGAGGGTGTTTCAGAGAGGAAGAATTGAGGAGGAAAAGACTCCCCACAAACCATCCAGTGGGCTGGAGCCTGGGCGGGGAGGCGAGCTGAGCACCCAAACCTGCATCCATTCTTTCTGTTACCTGACAGCAGAGGCAATGTGACCAGCTGCTTCCTGTCCCAGCTGCCATGCTGTCCCCACCTTGATGGACTCTGTCCCCTCAACTGTAAGCCAAAGCAAATCCTTCCTCCCTTTCTTCTCAGGTATCTGTTTACAGCAATGAGAAAAATAACCGATACAGTCCCCTTGTGTGGGAATTGCCTGTGTGACCCACACAAGGCTCGTTTCTGAAGGGTCACCCAGGCACTGGCACTGACTGTGGGATCACCTGATGCCTGCATTTTGATTGCCATCATGCTCTAAGGTCTCTAGCTTCCCAACATCCATTCTGCGTACAACCCACACACCCACACAGAAGTCCCATTTCCCAGGCACTCTAAGAGCCCTGGAAACATAAGTGAAGGCAAGCTATGTCAAAGGAGCTAGTCATTAGCATCCCTTTTCTTTCTTTTTAAAGATTTATTTATTTATCATGTATACAGTGCACACCAGAAGAGGGCACCAAATCTCATTACAGATGGTTGTGAGCCACCATGTGGTTGCTGGGAATTGAACTCATGTCCTCTGGAAGAACAGTCAGTGCTCCTAACCCCTGAGGCATCTCTCCAGCCCCTGAGATGTGTTATTTCTTAAAGCTGTTCATCTTAAGGGGTTGGGAGATAGCTTGGCAATTAAGAGCACTTGCATCAGGCAGCTCACGTACACATCTGGACGCCACCTTCAGGGGAGTCTATCGCCCCCTTCTGGTCTCTGCGGGCACTGCACTCACATGCACCTACTTTATTCTTTTTCATTTTAAATCAATATCAAACAGAAAATTTGCAAAAAATAAAATGAAGAGTTCCCATATACTCTCTATGCATATTCACAATATAACCTTCTGAGATAATTCTGCCACTCAAACTTACTAACCATTGCAATGTGATCTTCTGTAATTTACTGTTGTAATTTTTTTTTTCCTGGAGGTGGAATAATTTGTGTTTCTCAATAGACTGTTTTGTATTCACGTGAAACCCTGCATGCGTACGTCACAC